GGGGTCGACACCCCCCCCCCCCCTCCCGGCGGGGGAGGGATCAAAGGGAAGGGGCTTCCCTTCGACTCAATTACGAGGTTGCTCAATGTCGGCTTGGCTGGAGCCCAGGGGAAGAGGAGTCCCAGGGGGGGGCGTCGTATCTGACCCGGGGGGGGGGTCGACACCCCCCCCCCCTCCCGGCGGGGGAGGGATCAAAGGGAAGGGGCTTCCCTTCGACTCAATTACGAGGTTGCTCAAGGTCGGCTTGGCTGGAGCCCAGGGGAAGAGGAGTCCCAGGGGGGGGCGTCGTATCTGACCCGGGGGGGGGGTCGACCCCCCCCCCCCCTCGGCGGGGGAGGATCAAAGGGAAAGGGGCCGTCCCTTCGACTCATTACGAGGTTGCTTCAAGGTCGGCTTGGGCGGAGCACAGGGGAGAAGAGGAAGTCCCAGGGGGGGGCTGTCGTCTCTGATCTCCGGGGGGGGGTCGCTACCCCCCCCTCCCTCCCGGCGGGGGAGGGATGAAAGGGAAGGGGCTTCCCTTCGACTCAATTACGAGGTTGCTCAAGGTCGGCCTGGCTGGAGACAGGGGAAGAGGAGCCCCAGGGGGGGGCGTCGTTCTGACCCGAGGGGGGGTCGAAACCCCCCCCCCTCCCGGCGGGGGAGGGATCAAAGGGAAGGGGCTTCCCTTCGACTCAATTACGAGGTTGCTCAAGGTCGGCTTGGCTGGAGCCCAGGGGAAGAGGAGTCCCAGGGGGGGCGTCGTATCTGACCCGGGGGGGGGGTCGCTACCCCCCCCCCCCTCCCGGCGGGGGAGGGATCAAAGGGAAGGGGCTTCCCTTCGACTCAATTACGAGGTTGCTCAAGGTCGGCTTGGCTGGAGCCCAGGGGAAGAGGTCTCCCAGGGAAAGGGAAGGACAGAGACGACGAGTACAAAGAATGACGGAGATGACGGCTCGAACGGAAAAGCCCCTCACACACGCCGACAGGGTCGGCGGATTTTAGTGTTTCGATACCGCAATCGAAAGCCATCCTGTTCAAAGGGGCTGCCATTTATCCGTGGAGCCGTTGTACATTCCGGCGCCCGTATCGCCGTGCTGACTTTTACTGTGGTGCAGCGGGGAGGAGTAAGATTCAAGATGGAGGATTTGGGGAGCACTTGGGGGTTAGGGGGTGGAGGTGGAAGACGAGGGTGTGGGATTGGGAAGCCGTTTTCGTTACATGGATGTACTCCCGTACAGGCAAGGGCGACCCACATTGGGGCCGGGTGCGCAGAGTTGTACTTCACAGAGATCAACATCACAGGCACCTGGGCTCGGCGGCACCGCATGGCAGACCTTCATTGGGCCGCCCAGGACCGTCTTTTCTCCTCGTCCATCTCCTGCTTACGTTGAGCAGACTCTGGTTGGTCAAATGTAGCGTTAGTGAGATAGCAACACGCAGTAAGAGCAGACTTAGACGCTGTGGCAGACACATCAAGCGTTGATGAACTTGTTAGATGCGAAGACGGCAAGCAGAACTATGAACAACTATTGAAGTTCGCTAGGGCGTGGAGTCTGTGCTCACCTGGTCAAGGTGTGGTGGTGTTGAGTAGGCGAGAACTCAGCCAAGGCTTTCCTCCTACTTCTCCGATTCCGCTTCATGTCGTCAGACTTTCTGTGCGTCTGCTTCATGTCGTCCGCTTCGGGATGAAAGGCAGACGAAACGAAAGGCGGACGAAACGAATGGCGGACGAACTGACAGAGGACCCAACGAGAGAGGACGATACGACAGAGGACGATTCGAAAAAGGAACCGAACGCGGGCGAAGTGCAAGTCCTCCTCATTTTCGTCGTCCTCCATCAAGCCACCGAGGACGTGGAGCGAGGCCGCGCCAGGTGGAACAAGTTTCACCAGATCGGCGTCAAGGTGGTGCACGGCCACACCCTGCTGGGCACGAGGCCCTTGGGGTGGGTCAGGGACAACGCTATTGGTACATGGGCCAACGGGTGCTGACAGTCTCGAGTCTTCTGGATTTTCTGACGTTTTCGTCGGGATGCCCTCCAGCGGCTGCGCCTCGCCGAGAGCGTCCCAGGGGTGCCCAGATCGATCCCAAACGGCCGCCTGAGAGCCGAGGTATGACCCGAAAGCTACGGGTCAACGTTGGGGTGTACTGTTTCCCCTGGGGCCGTAGGCGACCCGAGGGGGAGGAGGAGAGGGAGAATGAGGAGGAGGAGGAGGATGAGGAGGATGTGTAGGAGGAGGAGGAGGAGACAGAGGGGGAGGAGGAGAAAGAGGGGGAGGAGGCAATGGAGGAGGAGGAGGAGGAGGAGGAGGAGGAGGTGTAGGAGGAGGTGGAGGAGAAAAAGGGGGGGGCGGAGATGGGAGGAGGAGGAGGAGGAGGAGGGGAGGAGGAGGAGGAGGAGGAGGAGGAGGAGGAGGAGGAGGAGGAGGAGGAGGAGGACGGGTCGCATAAGCCCTTCGGAGATACCCTCCACGTTAGGGACAGGCTCAGGGACCGATGCATCGCCCCGCAAGCGCCCATTCATCGCCGATAGGGGCCCGACAGGCCCAGCCCGCCCAGGCCCGTGATGTTTCGCTCTCGGGGGCCCGTCGCCGATGTATCGGCAGTGTGTCGGCGATTCCAGGTCGATGCTTCAGCCCCCCTCGTGGGCCAGTTCTCGCCTAACGTTCCCCCTCAGGGTGTTTGAAAATAGACGCGCCGTCAAGATCAGCTGTTACACGCGCGCGCAGTTTTAGATGATGCATTCGTCTATGCACGTGTGCATGTCTTCATCCGTATGCTTATGCATGTGCACGCGTCTGGAGGTGCAGCTTAGCTGATCTCTCTGCACATACGCGCAATATTTCTGCGGCTCGCTGCGCTTCGCCGATTAAGTGCGTGTCTGGTGGGCTTGTTTTCCACCGCCACCACTATAACTAGGAGGGGGAGGGGGTCCTCCTCCTCCTCATCCTCTTCCTCCTCCTCCTCCTTTTGCTCCTCCTTCCCCTCTTCCTCCTTAACCTCCACCTCCTTCCCCCTCCAACTTACAGTGGTGGTGATGGTGGTGGTGGAAAACAGGCCCATCATTGTCATTTGACGTACGTTGTCCGTGCTCGGGGCTGATGTTGGGCGTCCAAGGTCACGGGCTGCGTGTTGTAGGGTTCGAGGACCTCGCTGGGCTCTGGCGCCTTGCAGTGGATGCCCGTGCCAAGAAAGTATCCCATTGCGACTCTACCTAGGAGTTGGAGCATTTAGGACAGCAGCATCTACATCTACACCGACAGCTACATTTACATCTACACCTGCATCTACATCTACATCAACATCAACAGCGAGACTCACATCTACGTCTACATATAGACCTACATATACATCTACATCTGCACCTACATCCACATCTACACCTGCACCTACATCTACATCTACATCCTCACTGTCGCATGGGTTTTGCTTTTGCTTTAAATCGCCGTTGTCTTTTGCTCTTGCCTTTGATTTTGCATTTGCCTTTGCTTTTGATTTTGTTTTTGCTGTTGTAATGCTAGGTTATGGTATACTGTGATATGCTTCCCTATGCTATGCTGTGCGATACTGTGCTATGCTATGCTATGCTATGCTGCGCTGCGCTAATGCTATGCTATGATATGTTATGATATGCGGTGCTGCGCTGTACTATGCTATGCTAGGCCGTGCTATAATATGTTATGCTGCGCTGTGCTAGGCTAAGCTATGCTATGCTATGCTGCGTTATGCCAGGCTATGCTATGCTATGTTGTGTTGTGCTATGCTATGATATGCTGCGCTGTGCTATGCTAAGCCATGCAATGCGATGCTATGCTATACTATGCTGCGCTATGCTATGCTATGCTATGATATGTTGAACTATGCTATGCTACAATTGGTTATGCTATGCTATGCTATGTTATGCTGTGCTCATGCTGTGCTGCGCTATGCTGCGCCCAGCTAAGCTAAGCGAATATAAGATACGCTAAGATATCGTTAAGCAAAGCTAATCTAGGCTAGGCTAGGCTAAGCTAAGGTAAGCTAAGGTAAGCTAAGCAAAGCTAAACCAAGCTAAAGTAAGCTAAGCTTGGCTAAGGTAGCATGAGAAAAGCTAAGCTAAGCTAAACTAAACTAAGCTAGGCTAGGCACAGCTAAACTAAGCTAAGCTAATATGAGATACGCGAAGCTAAGCTAAGCTTAGCTAAGCTTAGCTAAGTTAAGCTGGGTGAACCCAGAGGGCGCAACTGGGGGAACCGCGGGGCGGATACTGGGGGAACCGCCCAGGGCGCTTTTCCACTGCCCAGCCCCTTTAAGCCCAGAGAGTAAGAACCCTTCTAGGCAGAGCCTAGATCGGGAACAACCCGCTTGCCTCCAGGGTGCGCTGTGTTCGTTGGGTTTCGATGGGTTTGCCATGGAATGATTGACATGCCCACGCCAAAAGTCCATGGGCGTCCTGGGGTCTCAGGTTTGGGTTTCGCGTGGAGGGTCTCTTGTGGACTGGCCTCCACTGTACAGCGCTCGTAACTTTCAGCGGTGTCTCAGATTTCGCATCGACAGTGCGGTTCGCACATTTCGTCCGGATTATCCATGACGTTTCGCGTAACCCTCCAACCCTTCCGTAGCTTGGCTCAAGGTGCCGTACCCCTTTTGGCTCAAGCCGCTCTGGCTCGAGTCCAGAGCAGCAGGGCGCTCTCGCGGCGGCCGCGGCGGCCGCTATGTCGTGGCAGAGCCGCCGCTGGCGCGCCGCGGACCCGTTGCAGGCGGCCGACCCGTGGGCGGGAGCGGCTGCCGCTGGTGCAGGCTGGGCTGCCGGCTCAGCGAATCATGGGAAGCTTTGGAGGGAGTAGCGGCCGCCGCAAAAGTGCCGCGAAACGCCTGCTGCGCGGCGGCGGCGACAGCGCCAGGCAGCTGCCGCGAGGCGCTCTCGCGGGCCAGCCGCCGGCACTGTAGATGCGAGGCTCGAGCAAAGCGCCCTGGAGGATGTGAAACGGGAATTGCAGGTTTCCGCGAGGAGTCCGCCGAGAGCCGGGAGCAGCTGGGCAAGGTGTCGTCCCAGCTCGTGGAGGCCAACGGGCATTTGGCGATCGTGCAGGCCATCGTCTACTACCTGGGCTCGCTGCTGGCCTGGCTGGAGACGCTGCGGAAATGTCATTGCTGCGGCATGCCTCGGGGCACTGGTGCTGGACTTTGTTCTTGGTGCTGGGCGTGGAGTCCCGCGGATGCCACGCCCGCAGCGTCGGATTCAGCTGCAAGACCGACATCGGGTGCCCACCTCCCCTCGGGGTTAGGCTCTGGCGGTGGCGACGCCAACCGGGAGCGCAGCATCCCAGCGGCAGTGGCGAGGGCGACGCTCGGGCCTGCAGCCCCGCTTTTGGAGGCCGACTCGGAGGGCGTCGCGGAACCGCCGAGCGGGGGAAACCCTTCAGGGCGACCAGCCGCTGCCGCGCCAGCCGTCGGCTCTGCCCCTGTTGTTGCGCGACAAACGGGCGACCCGTTGCCTCCAGCACGGACGAACATCCGGCCAATCCGGATCCCAGCGCAGAGGCAGGGGTATTCATACGAGGCGGTGCTTGGACGATTCCTGCGAGAGATTCGGGCATCTTTTTGTTTGCTCATTGAGCAGTACTTGTCCAAACAGTTTAAGCTTGACAATTGCCGGCGCTTCTTGGGAATGATATCGTCCGTGCCTTCTGTCCAATGTGTTTGGGCCATCGCAAACCATGCCGCATATGTGGGTATCCTGAACCAGCTCTTAGGGGAAACTCGGGTGATGGGCATCCAGACGCGCCTCGACGCAGTCGAGGACGTGCGGGACTTGACGGACGCGGCTGGGCTCCATCTGCACCACGGTAAGCCCCACGCCAGGGAGCTGCGCCTTGGGCGCGAGCTGGGGTACTGGTCGCTGCACCTCTCCGAGGGCCTACACTGGTTCTCTGGGAGGGACCCTCCGTTGCCGCTCGGGCTCGTTGAAGAGCTCGCGGCCCGCTGGACGAAAGGAGCGCTGATCTCTGCGACGTGGGTTCCCGACGAAAACATGCGCGCTGAGATGGCCGAGGCGGTGCGCAAAGGCGATGACGATACGTATACCTCCACGGTCTCGCTGTCCCGGGCGCGCGTCCGCAGGCTCCTGCGCGAGACCGGCCAGCTCGAGCAGCGGGACCCTCGCACGCTGAATCCTGCCCAAACTTGCCCGACGGCCCTCGCTGGACGTAGCCCAGACGCGCCTGCGAGCAGAACGGGCGATGGAACGCTCGGCGAGCACCCCCGCGCCGATGGTGCAGTGGAAGGCGGCGGACCAGCAGCCCTGTGACGAGGGCGTGCAGCCCGTCACGTCCTTGACCCTGCGGGTGCCCACAAGGGAGCTCGGCCGGATCATTGGATTTGATGGAGCCACGGTGAGGAGGCTGCGGGAGGTCACGGGCGCGGAGATAGTCATCCCGCAGGCGGGAGGTACCGGCCTCGCTGTGGTCAGCATCACGGTGAGGGGCCGAGGCGTGGGGCCCCATCAAGCTCATGCCGCCATCTCCGCCATTGCTCATGGAGTCGACTCAGCGACGGCGCTCGCGACACTGGGTCCTCCAGCCGCTGGCGCCTCTGTGCGCTGGGGCCCAGGTGTGGGCTTCGCTCCTGGAGAACCTTTTGGTGCAACAGAGCTCGCCTTGTCTGGGGGGGGCGGGTTCGTCCTTGTCGGCGCGACGGATGGCGACTACGACGAGCACCTTGTTGTCAACAGGGTCCCTGGGTACCGTGCTTGGATCGCCCGCGCTACCACGTCAGATGGATCTGCGTTCGTCTGGAACGTTTTGGATGCCGAGTACATTTGCAACGGGCGCGTCCTTGCCAACCCGGACAGGAAGAACCCCCCAGGCCGCGGCGAGGACAGCGTCAATTGGATCTGCATTCCGCCTGAGGGCCCAGGGGGGCAATGGAGGTGCTGGAACCCGAAGCTTCTGGAGC